GTTATCTCTGTTGTTGAAAACATGAAAAGCCATATTAAGGTCTCTATGAGGTTTGAAGTTAAAGTTTTGCCTTTTTGTTTGGGATCTGGACTACAGTAGAAGGTATCTGTAGAATTAAGTAAGTATGCAGGAGTCAAATATAATCAACACAGTATTTGTAATTTTAGTAATGGCTTCTCATAAGGAGGACAGCTCCAGAGAATTTTAGGAACTGACATGTTATTTATTTCATATATATAAGTATCTCTTTATGTTATTAAAAGGTCTAATGCCATCTAATTTTTGGAGGATGGCCTGTTTAATTAATTTTTTCCTTTTTATTTAGGAGAGAAATCAGCTACGGTTATTTAATATCAGTTGAATATAGCTAATTATGGCTCTGTGGAGGGCTGAGCCAGGGGAGGCAGATAGGCTGGGAAAGGTTTAATTTTGTGCCCCAGTGTTGGTTTTACTGTTTTGCATATATCATATAATCCTTGTCTTGGAAAAGAGCTAGTGGTTTCCAGCAAAAGGAATTTATAATTATTTTTTAATTTTAGTTGTTAAACAGGAGATCAGTGACAATATAGTATAATATAAGCAGTAAGCTCAACACAGAACACCACCGGCAGTCCACAGCAAAAGGAACTTACAAACACCTCCCAATTTTAGTTGTTAAACAGGAGATTACTGCAGGCTTTAATTGATAAACAAGACTGGTAAAATTACCAGGTGGCCACTTCCTGTTTGTCAGCCAAAGTCTTGTCTATTTCTGGCTTATTTAACCTTGATTAAATGGTTTGAGAATGTAAAAAATAGCATCTCTGAGCCGAGCTGCTGAGCTGCTGTTTATCTGTGTTTGTAGTTTAAAGCGGTGCTTGTGTTTGGGAGACATGCAGTGCTTAAGGCAGGATGGAACTCTGAGGCTGGGCGCATGCAGCGTGAGGGCAGGGCCAGCTCCAGGACATAGCGTGCAGGACAGGCTGGGACTGCCTCGGTAAATGTGCACAGGGCGGCGGTGGTGGTGATGGTGGTGGCAGTGGCAGTGGCAGTGCACGGGCACGTGGCGCACGGGGGCAGAGCTGGGAGGTGGAGGGCGCAAAGCTGGGATCTTACAGGCTGGCAGAACGACTCCATGTAGAGCCAGATTAGGGCTCAGCATTGGAGCTGAACCTAGTGTACCTGGAGCGCAGCATGACAGCCAAGATATCATGTGGAGTTGGGGCATGGCATGAAAGCTTAAAGTAGCCTGCAAGTATCTCTCAACACTGTTTGGGCTCATTTTTTTTTTATCTCGGTGGGGAATGGGTCGGTGCACGGAGGCAGGGAGGGGAAGCAGGGAGGAAAGGAGACGCTGAGAAAGCTCTGAAAGGCTGCAAGGAAAGACGCTATTATCTCTTTAAATGTGGGGAGAGAGAGAGATTCTGGAAGAGCAGGAAAGGACGCACATTCCCAAAACAAAGGCTTAAAGAGAGAGAGTTTTGTAAACTTGTCATCAGTGTGATAAGCTATAAATAGGTATGGTTTTTTTTTGGGGGGGGGGACAGGAAGTGGTCCTCAAGATAAAATCTGGTATGGGGTCTGGCCCACGGTGTTATAGCCAGATGAGGCAACGGACCGTGGTCTGCTAAGCTTAAAGTCGTCACTTTTTACTCTAGACCGATCGGCATTATTTGGTTTCAAAACTCATAATAATTGGCCATCACCAATATATGAGTGGATTTCTCATGGGTATAGTAACAGCTCTGCCCATGAGAACTTAAAAAGCTCTGAAGGACGTGAGAATCTTAACGTGTGGACACAGGCTGGCCCAGGAAAACTCTGCCTTGGCCTATCCGAACCTGAAGGATGTGAGAGTCTCCCAGTGTGGACACAGGTTGGCCCAGAAAGACCCTGCCTTGGACTATCTAAGGATGTGAGAGTGTCACACAAACCCACGGAAAGGGGGAGAAAACCCTCCTAGGGCCTGGCCCAGCAGCAATCTCTGGGGGTTGCTTGCCTGTGGTAAGTTGGGTCAGTGTTGTTTGCGAACGAGCAGTGACAAGTTTACAGCTCCCGAGTGTAGAAGTGAGGAATTAATGCAGGATGTAGTCGGGTCCTGGTCCTGAATGACAGGGGACTCAAACTGAGAAAAAGCCCCAGGAATCTGCCATTCCCGGCCAGAGAACCATATGATAGAACTGTGGGGGACCCGTGGCGGCTAAAAAGGTAAGAAGTATGAAATATAAATGACCTTTATTTTGAGAATGTGGGGAAACACCCCCGAGCCCCTGGGGCACAGCATCTCCCCTCCCCCCCAGGGGTCAGTGATCTCTCCATGGAACACATGGAGTGGGGGCATACATGTAGCTTAGATTGGGGGTGGTGCATGAGGGGGCATTAGGGATGCACAGGTAGCCCATTGGTACTCTTTTGGTGCCAGAGATAAATTCCTAGGGGTGGGGGGAGATAGAACTCCTTGTTTCCATCTGAGGCTTTACCAGCTACAGTGTCTTGTCTGGGCCAAAACTCTTTTAGGACCAGGCGAGAATCCAGCACCTACTGATGGCATAAGGTCTCCAGGCTCTCGGATGGCAATTTCCATAGCTGTAAGTGGGGCAGGAAGTCCTTAAGAGTGGGGAATGCAGAGTGGGTAAAGAAAGAACAGCCGATAAAAGAAAATTTCTCCAGGGCTCTAAATTAAAGTAGAGGGGGAAGAGATGAAGCAAGTTAATCAGATGACAGCTTTGGGAGAAACTAACCAAAGGCTCCTTTAACTTGACTGACAGTGACCATGCCCCGTTTACACAGAAATTTCTGGACTGTTGACTGCACACCACCCACAGGCAACACTTCTCGGGGCGGCCTCCTAGCCACGCCAGGCTTTCCCAGCCCTTTCCCCGCAGGCAGTGCCGGGTCCCTGTGGACGGCTTATAAGCTCTCCCCTCCGATTTTCCTTATAAACATACTCCTAGCCCTGGGTCCAGTGGTCATTTTCCCACCTGCTATCCAGTGTGGAGAGCTCATTCCAGGACCTAGGCCTGTCCTGGCTGCTGCCTATAAAGGTTTCTAGTTTTAAATTTCCTTTATTTATTTTGTGGTGCTGGAGGTTGAACCCAGGGCCTTCACACTGAGCTGTCCTCCTTCCAAGCTGGCTTATTTATTTACTTATTTACTTTTTTTTTTAAAGGTAGAATCTTGCTAAATTGCTAAATTGCCCAGGGTGGGCTGGAACTTTCAATCCTCCTGCCTCAGCCTCCCAGAGTGCTGGGATTACAGGTGTGTGCCACCACGCCTAGCTTCTATATCCCTTTCTAAGGCTGGGGGGATGCTGTTCTGTTACACTTATTAGGACATGTTTACAATGCAAATGATTACATTCATTGTGGGGACCTGGTACATGTATGTAAAGTCTCCATGCTTTTTTTTCTCTTTATTTCTACCCCATTCCCATGGCAATTCTTTCTGAATCTTTTATCTTTTCTATTTTGATGGTCTAGGGATTAAACGCAAGGCCTTCTACAGTGAACTCCATGCTCAGGACTCAGTCCCCCATCTGTCTGTTTGTTCATTTTTGTTTTTGAGACAAGGTCTCACTAAAGCACTAAGTTGCCAAATGAGGCTGGAACTTGCAATCCTCCTGCCTCAGCTTCCCAGAGTGCTGGGAATGCAGGTGTGCACCACCATACCTGGCAGCCATTCTTTTTTAGAGATCCTTCAATCTCAAGAGTTTTGGTTTAATATAACTATGATTAATTTAAAATAAAAGTGATTTTTTATTTTTAATTATTGAAAACATAGAACATAATCAGAAGGAAATTTTAAAAAGAAAATCTACATCACCCAGAGATACTATCCATTAATATACAGGTAATATATTCCATATTTGTACCCATGCCACACTCATACACACACACACACACACACACATACTTACACTTTTTTTATGTTTTATTTTGTTTGAGACAAAGTCTCATTATGTAGCACAGGCTGGCCTTGAACTCAACTATGTAGCCCAGGCTGGCCTCAAACTCCTGGCAATCCTCCTGCGTCAGCCTCTCAAGTGCTGGGACCACAGGCCTGTGCCACCATTTCTAGCTCACATACACTTTGTTAATGGCCCATATTTCAGTACTCGTGCGTTTGCTTCTCATTGTATTGCAAATATTGCAAGTGAGGACTACAGTTAAACAGAAATTACCGAAAGCTATAGTTTTGGACTGTTTCTACGCTGGACCAAACAAATGAGACTAAAATCCAAAATAAAGCCACCCACACTGAAGCTCAGTCACCAAACTGAAACTAAACTGTGCATTTGGCCTTCCGAGAAATCAGGAGAAGCCAAGTGTGGTGGGCCACACCTGTGATCCCCTCACCAAGAAGGCTGAAGCAGGAGGATTGTAACCAAGACTAACTTGGGTTACAAAGTGAGTTCACAGTCAGCCGGAAGCGCATAGGGAAATCCTGCCTCAAAAAATGACAGAGGGAGGGAGGGAGGGAGAAATGAGAGATAAGTGGCAGACTTTCCAAACAGGCCAGTTTACACCAAAGACTGCCTGAAGTTACTGATGTCAAGCAATTTGCTATTTTTCTGTTCTGTCTCCGTCCCACCCAGCCACTCCACCTCCCTTTAAAGCAAAGCAACTGCCACGACCAATCTGGTTTTGTTCTTCGTTTCTGCTTCCTTTAGCCCTTCTGACTATAAAATTCTGCTCTGCTCCCTGGGACACGTGGAATGAAGATCTAGCAGGGTTGTGAAGCCAAGCCAGATCTTTAACTGCAGTCACTTTCCGTGAAGCTACAGGGTTCTGAGAAACAGCCTTGCCCATGACTGCAGGGGGTTCCGCCTAGTGGCTCGGTGCGCTTTTTGGAAACGGCTGCTCACTCTCCTGGTGCCCAGCACAGGTTTGGGAGCAAGATCCGCCCCGTCTTGCACCCTACCCGCCGCTCCCCCAGCCACCACCACCACACGCGCGCGCGTGCACGCACACCCGGCTCCTGCAGGAGATTAAGTCAGCACACTTTTGTAAAGCGCCCAGCTCAGCAGTCCTGTGTCGTAGACCCCGCCCACGGCATCCAAGGCTCGGCGGTGGCCTCTGGCTCTGCTCTTGGCCCACGCGGGAGCCCCCGAGTGCGGTTACTGGTTGTGAACAGCCTTCCTCTCCTCCTCTCCCCTGGTTTACTGAACAACGTGCGGGTGTAACCCTCACACCCCGACCCTGCAATGGGACCCCGGCCTGAGCGCAGCGGACGCAGCGCCACCTCCCGGGGCGGTCCCCGGGGAGTCAGCGCCACCTCCCGGGGCGGTCCCCGGGGAGTCCCCCGGCCTCTCGGGGCGACCCCGACTCCGCCCCATCGGCACCGCCCCCGCAACCTTTGGGCAGCAGAGACTGCTCCGGCGACTTGGGCAGAGCCCTGGAGGCCCTGGGGCCGCGATGCCGGGGCCCGGCCGGTGGGCGCCCCTGCTCCTCTGCCTGCTGCAGGCCGCTCCAGGTAAGGGCGCGGGGCCGCGGGGAGCGCGATCAGGCCGGGCAGGGACGTGGGCTGCGCTCCGCGGGCGGCTCGGTGGGCACCCACTCCCCGGGTGGGTGCTGCCTGCGCGCCCCGGGGTAAACAGACCTGAGCCCGCGAATCCTATGGGGGAAGGAAACAAACCCAGTGAACTCCGCTCTGGGTTCAGGTAAACTGGGCAGAGAGACCGCAGAGCTGACAAGGAATTTATTGTTCAAGTGCTTTCTTTATAACCGCCTTCTAAAATCGACACGCTTGACTCAGACTAGTAGGGGAAAGAGGACAGAGGCGCCGGCCTCCTCCCACAGGGGCCTGGGGGCAGAGCACTGCCTGAGCCCGGGTGCAACTCTACCTGGCGCCTTTTCTCTTTGTCCTCCTGATTTATCAGCAGGTTACAGAACACCTCTGGTTAGGACCCAGCCACTGAACCATACCCGCTGAAACCTGGGGAGGAGCCAGGACCCCAATCGCTCCCTCAGCCCCACCTTCCTGGTCTTAGACTGCAATGTAAAGACCTAGAAGGGTCCTCGGACTTAAAAAAAAATCATAAAAACTAACTTTTTTTTTTTTTTTTTTTGAGCAACTTCTTGTTGCCGGCCATCACACTGTCCTTTTTTAAGCCTTGAAACTCAGCCATCCTCTGAGGTGGACGTTGGACATTGTTCTTTTTCAGACGGGAAGACAGGCTCAGAGCAGTTAAGAGGCTTGTATGGGAAGGACAGCACAAGTGAAACACATGGAAAAGAGGGGCCTAGCTGAGGCGGCAGCCTGAGCCTTAGGTGGGCAGGGCAGCAGGGTGCACCATCCCCAGGTCGATGCCAGCACCTCCACTGCACGTTTGCAGCTGATGGGAGACCACTGTAGGAGGGGTTCTCTGTCCCTGTCCCCCAGCTGACTTGGGCTCAGGCAGATTATTTGACCTTTGTCTCTGATCCCAGGACCATTCCAGGGAGTAGTTGCTGCCAACCAGTTACTGTTCTTCACCCCAAGTTTGAATGAGTTTTGAATAGTAAAAGCCACATAGCTGGGGCGCCTTTGAGGGCTCAGTAAACTGTGGCTCCCCTCCTGCCGGTTTTCCTGTGGCCGAGGTCACATTTCAAGCAATCCCACCCATGGGATACCTTCTGAGTGGCTTGGACATGGACTGGCCTCCTGCTAGGCATTTGCTGGACAGTCCAGGAACCCAGAGTAATAACAGTGTCACCTTCACTGATCCATTTCGCACCTGAGAGTGTAGGATGTGTGGAAGTGGTACCTTTGAGTGTAAAATGCCAGGCGGACAGCCCAGGCTGGCGAGCCGAGCTGAGAGCCAGCGAGAGACCTGGGCCTGTCCTCCCTGATGCCATTCTGCAGCGTGTGTGGATTTCATGGCCCACTGACAGTTCAGGGCTCACACTTCTCCCAGACCTTGAGCTTCTCCAGGGCTGGAGGTTGAGCTGTACTTCCTGCCTTCTACACCAGCACGCAGTGGCCAACAGGTGCCACTGACTGACAGTGGTCACCAGTACAGATTAAGATCATGCAGGCAGGCCCCATGAGAATTTAGAGGAGGAAGCAGGGTTAAGAGCTCAGACTTTGGAGTTAGCTAGGCCTGGATCTGAATCCTGGCTCTTCTACTCATTGGCTGAGAGCACCCCGGTTTTCCCACCTGTAATGCTCAAAGTTAGTATTACCTCCTAGGATAGGGAGGATTAAAAGAGAAAATTCAATTAAAATGTCTGGCACAGCCTAGCTTGTGGCTAGAACACAGTGTCTGTGAGCTGCGATTGCTATTTTCATCAGCATCCTGGGCATCACCCCTGCCTCTTAGAGATGTCACAGAAGACCCCCTCGAGGCAGGGACATTTAAATCAAGCCCTGCAAAGAGCAGAGTCCAGAGGTTTCCAGAAGAGCAAAGTGACTTGTGAACAGCAAGCAGGAAGGTTGGCTGCGCCTGCCAGCCTGTGGGGAGTGGCAGCCTGACATCTGGGCCAGGCCCCACGTACCTCAATAAGAAGGGTGGCTTTTTTCCGAGGGCAGGGGGAAGGTGGGAACCTGAGGAATGATGTGATCTTGGTGTAGTCAGTTCAGGGTGTCCCAGAGGGAAGTACAAGCCAGCAAAAGGCGGGCAGGGACATGCCACTGGACCACGTGGCTGAGGAGCAGTGAATGAGAAGAGAGGAGCGTGCCAGGCTGGGTGGCAGCCGGGCAGTGACAGGCAAGGCTTGGGAATTGATGCAGAGTGAGATGCTGGAGGCTGTGGGTGGGTCTCAGTAGAAGGGGATGAGATCTGACTTTGATCTTAGCCCTTACAGGTGTGTAGAGGGAGGGGCGGAGGGGACAAGGTGTTCTGAAGCCCCCATTGAAACCAGGCTCCACTCTAAGGTTGCTAGCCTTTCCTCAAGGGAAATGGCGTTTTCCGCATCCCTTTCAAGGCGCTTCTAACTGGCAGCACCCTAAGGTCTAGCTGTTCCAGCCCCCAACCTGGAGCCCCCGTGCTTATCCTGGCAGAGTCTCTGTGGCTCTTGTCTGTCCACTGTATGCTGCCTGGCCATCGCTCTGGCATTGGGAGCTAGACGTAGATTCTCCCGCTTGTCCTGGGGGAAGCTCGGCCCGGGGGAGCCCCTAGTTCTTCAGATAGATGGGAATTCAATGCATCCTCCCAGTAGGAAGCAAGATAGAGAGGGTTTATTACTCAGATCCTGGTTAGGGAGGGCACAGTCCTTGTCCCAAGGTGAGGTTAGGTGAGGCAGGGACAGGTCAGGCAGACGGGAGCAAAAAGCAGCTCACAGTATTTGTGGTGACCACTTTTAAGTTCACAGGAAAACACCCAAATGGTCTATTTAAATTCAGGGTGGCGGGTTGGGGGTTTAGCTCAGCGGCATAAGCACCTGCCTTGCAAGCAGGCAGTCATGAGTTCGATCCCTGGTACCAATAAAAACGAAAAAAATTGAGAGCCCGAGGGCAGGTTAGGGAGCCTTTTGAGGGATTCAAGTTGCTGCAGTGTCCCTCAGCTCGGGCAGTATTTACCGTGCAGCCCCGAGATCAAGACGAAGCCTCTGCTGCCCGAGACCCTCAGGGCTGCTGGTGCCTGGGGTCCAGGAAGGGAGTAGAGATGGTTCCTGCACTTTGGGGTTCTGGGGTGCCCTCAGCTGCCTGGGAAGGGGAAGAGCCCAAAACAGACAGCCACTTGCTCCCTGTTCCTCAAAATTGAAGGAGCTGCTCCCCAAGCTGCTCTTCAGCTCCAAATACCCATGCCCCGTGTGGAGAGCAGCCCAGAGCCCCCGTTTAGCCGGCGTGAGGGCGCATGTGTGGAATCCCAGAGTTTGAGAAGCTGAGGCAGGGGCTGGGCAAGCTTGGGCCCAGCCTGAGCAGCTTAGCAATTTAAGGAGACCCTGCCTCAAAATAAAAACTAGCAAAGGCTGGGATGTAGGTCAGGGTGAAGGCTCAGCATTCAATCCCCAGCATGGAAGAGGAAAGGAAAAAATCCTCAGGTCTTGAGAACCTCTTTCTCCCCACAGGGAGACCCCTTCTGGCCCCTCCCAGGAATGTGACTCTGTTCTCTCAGAACTTCGGTGTGTACCTGACGTGGCTCCCAGGGCTGGGCAACCCCCAGAACGTGACCTATTTTGTAGCCTACCAAGGGTAAGTGGGAGCCCCTGAGCTGTGTGTGGGGTAGGAGGAGCCGCTCAGGGGAGAGCTGTGTGGTCCCCAGTGGTGCTCTGGGTTCCATTGGCAATGGTACATGGCAGGTATGCTGGGGGAGGGACTTTTGATAAGGGTTGGAAACGGTGGGGACGGTGTGGGGTGGAGAGCGGTGAACAGGTGAAGGACAGGCCAGGGTGGGGAGGATGTTTAAGAAAAGCCGGAGCAGGCATTGGGTGAAGTGTAGGCACCAGGAGACCAGAGGACAGAGCCTTTGAGTGCCCGGGTGAGGCTCTTGGAGTTGTCCCAGCTGATTAGTGAGGGACCACATGACCAAGGAGCCAATGCTGTCCCCTGCGTAGCCTGGCCACCAAGCCATCACCACACAAACACACTTTTCCCAGTGGAGCTGGGCAGAGCCCAGCATCCTTCCCCACTTCCAAGCCCAGGCCATCGCTGCTCATCCTGAAGAATCTGAGATTGGAGGCAGACACCATCTTTGAACATCCATGAGGGTTGTATGGAGTTCTTCAGCAGGGCAGGAAGAGGACAGAAGCAGACACTCAGCAGGATCTGTCTAGATGTGAGGGAGAAAGCAGAAAGGGCAGAGCTGCCATGTGCCAGGCCTTGTGCTATGGGCTTGGGGAACAGTTCACTTCCTCTTCCCAGAGCTTGGTTTTGAGTTTTAGAGGGGAGGAGGGTGAGCTCGGAGTGGTGCCCTGAGCGGTCCAGGGAAGCTAGGGACGAGCTGCTGGAGGACCCCAAGCCTGTCTGACCCCAAAGCTTGTGCTCTTCCTGTCCCTTAGTCCCTGCATCTGGCCCAGAATGCGGCCCTGGCTTGGGCAAATAAAGGACAGGCTGGAGAGAGATTTGGAAGGCAGGAACCCCATCACAGAGCAGGGACTGTGTGTCACCCACCATCTGTGCCTCACTAGCATGCTTTGATTGTTATAAGGCTCCAGGGAGCAAACCCAGGGCCCAGAGTGTGCTAGGCAATGTGTACCTCTGAGCCACACGTCCAGCCCTGTGTCAGCATCGTCACTGTACTTTACCTCGCCATAGCCCCATGAGGAAGGCTCCGTGCTGCCCTTCATGGAGGACACGGAGGTGCTCTGGGTGTATTTTGCTCAAAGTTACCCAGCTCGATGTAGTGTGGCAGGGATAACTGTACTGAGGAGTTACAGAACCCATCCTCTGGACCGCTGTGAGTGTTCGCTTGTCTTTTATACTTTGTAAAACACCTGTGAAGCCAGGCCCGATGGGGGACATCTGTAATCCCAGCACTTGGGAGGCTGAGGCAGGACAATTGCTGAGTTCAAGGCCAACTTGGGTTACATAGTGAGTTCAGGACCAGCCTGAACTGCAAATAAGGCCCCCATCTCAAAAATCAAAAACAAAAACACCTGTGAAGATCGCAGAACGGTGATATTCTAATGACATTCATCTTCTCAATTGCTACTTGGAATCATTTTATAAAACATACATTTGCTCATCTACTATTGATATCCAGGGACTCAAATAAACAAGACAGGATACATGGTTGATTTTCTTCTGTTCACTTATGAGTTTTTAAGCTAGATGAATTGGTTCCCTGTCTTATCCCAAAAGTGACTAAATCGCATTATCATTATCATTATAAACTCAAATTTTTAAGTGTATGTCGTGGTGTCAGTCCCCTGCAATTTGTCCTGCAAGGTGAGATGTCACCTTTGACCAGCAAGTCTCTTCAAGGTGGCTCCTGCATCCTTTTAACTTAACTCTGTCTTTGTCATCTTCCTTGTCTGTTACAAGATGTCCCAGGCTGCCTTACACATTCCCGACATAAAGCCTGCAGTGAGGCATTTCTCTGTTTAGCAAGAGGAGGTTTTAAAGACTGCAGACCGTGAGTCGACTGCGTTTTCTCTGTAAAGCTGGGGCTCTGGGCTCTTCCTGATAAACAGGGATATGTGTGGATCACATAGGCATACGTGTGCGTGATTTTAACGTAGCGCATCTGAGTTTGTTCTAACCCGTGTTGTATCTGTATTTTCTTTCATCCACACTAAAATTCTGGTTCTCAAGAACATAGGAGATTGTAGAATCTGCATGACCTGTAATTACTCATTTTCTTTATTTGCAAATACGCTTAACAGCCTCTTAGAGGTTGTTTGTTCCTTCTTTGAAATTCAGTAATTTTACTGGAGTGTGTGTTGAGGTTGATTATCCTGGGTTGATATTTTTAGTCAATTCTTCCTCCACCTCCACCTTCTATCTCTATAGATTTGGGGATTTAACCTAGGGCCTTTGCACCCAGCTATGTTCCCGCCCTTCTTAGCCCAGTGGCATAAGTGCCTGCCTGGAAAGCGTAAGGTTGTGAGTTCGATCCTTGGTATCTTCTTTAATTTTTTATTTTGACACAGGGTCTTGCTCAGGCTCCAATCTTTTCTTTTGGGAAAATTTTTCTCATGTTTTTTAATATTTGTTATGTTCTCTTGCTTTGATTTTCTTCTTGAGGTACTCATATTATCTGTATGTTGGATCTTCTTTTTCTGTGTTCAGCTTTTGTTTCTCTCAAATTCCATTTATTTATGTATTTTATTTATTCATGCTGTTCTCTAAATGGAATAGATTTCACTCAATTTTTAAAAAGTTATATGTGCTTCTGTTCCAAGGTTATTCAACATCTCGTTTGTATTCTTTACCTTGATTCCATTTACTTGTCTTATAAATCTAATCCTTCTCTAAAAGACTGTGTACAACTCAGCATGTCCCTTTTTAAATATCCTTGTTAGATTCCATTTTTCTTCTTAAACCAACAATATTGAGTTGAAGTGTACAAAATGCCCTTTGTTAAGTATCACCTGACAAGTGCTGACCGTGAAACCATGAAACCCATGAAACCATCACCTAGATCAAGATTTAAACATGACCTAGCATGGGGGCACATGCCTATAATCCCAGCACTTGGGAGGCTGAGGCAGGAGGATCACTGTGAGTCTGAAGCCAGCCTGGGCTCCATAAGTGGGTTCAAGGCCAACTTGCATTACATAACAAGAGCCTGTCTCAAAACAAACAAACAATAACAACAAATATCATCTCCATGATGTCCAGAGGCTCCCACTGCCACATGAAGGTCTGCTTTCTGACCCCCTGGATTAACTTAGCGTGTCCCAGAATCTCCTACAGATACATTTGTATAATATGAGCTTTTTTACACCTGACTCCTTTCAATCGGCACATGATTCTAAAATTTACTTGCATTGTTCCCACCACTAGTAGTTCATTCTTTTTTATTTCTGAGTGGTATCCCATTGTATGATTATACTGCTGATTTTGTTGTTGTTAATCATTTTTCCATCAATGAACATTTGAGTTGTTCTCAGTATATTAGTTTGCTAGGGCTACCATATGGCCCACCCCATAGATTACCCAAATTCATGGTCTTATATGAAAAATACGTCTGCCCCATCCCAACAGCCATGGAAGTATTAATTCATTCCAGGGCTGGGGATTTAGCTCAGTGGTGTAAGCACCTGCCTGACAAGCACAAGATCATAAGTTTGATCCCTGGTACCAAAAAAAAAAGGAGACAAAAAATAAATTCGTTCCAGCTTCCATTCTAAGTCCAAAGTCTCATCTGAATATTATCTGTGTCAGGAATGGTGTGGGTTGGGGTATGAATCACCCTGAGGCACAGGTCCTCTTTGCTAGCGAACCTATGAAACCAGATAAGCCAGGTGCTTCTAAAAGGAAACAATGGGACAGGCATGGGATACACAGTCCTGCTCCAAAGGGAAGAGCAGGAAGCGGTGGCAGCTGCCAGACAAGTATAAAACCTGGCAAAGCAAATTCCCTTAGCTTTGAAGGGTCAAGAAATGATCATCTTTCGTTCAACATTCTTCCCTCTGGTCATATAGATGGCAGCCCCATTTCCTGGAACCAGCAGGCTGGCAGCGCCCCCCTTTGCCCTGCAGGCCAGCCTTGCCCCTGAGACACTGAGGAGCAGTACCCTGGCCTGTGGAAACTGAAGCGGGGACACCTTGCTCCCCAGTCTTTGAGCGGCAGTGATAACCCTGCCGAGCCCGTGTCACCTTCGGGGTCTGTCTCCCCTTTGCTTGTGGGAGATGCGGGTCCACAGCCACGTGGCTCTGTCTCCCCTCCTGACTGTCCTGCTTCATTTTGTCCCCTTTCATTAGAGCTGGCAGGGCGTCTGCTGACATCATCCTGTCTGTGTTTCCGGTACCACAGAACTGGCTGATGAAATCCATGAGCCGCATCTATAATTTCTTCATCAGATGATTTCCCACACACACCCTCTTCGTTCTCTCCAGAATGCCCTCGGGCCTCTTGCAATCTGAGTAGACTGAAAATCTCTTGCGTCTTCAAGCTCTGATTCCTTTTTCTGGGATTGCATTCATGTGCTGCTGTGCCTGGCTTTAACTTCTATTTTCTACAAAACAGGCGAACACAGTTCACCCAGGTTCTTTTTTGACAAGGGTTACATTTTCTTTAGGACAGTGGCCGTCTCTCCTTTCCTTCCTGACCTTACAGAGTCACTCTTAGGGTTTACATCCCTACCAGCATTCTCTGTCCTGCAAGCTGGGTTTCTTCCTATATCTCAAAACTCTTCCTGTGTCTACTTATTAGCTAGCTACAAAGCTGTTTGTATTAGCTTGGTACCTTGCAAGCAGGCAGTCATGAGTTCGATCCCCGGTACCGATAAAAAGGAAAAAGACAAAAAAAAAAAAAAAAAATAGCTTGGTAGGGTAAAGCACCAAGGACTAGGTGACTTAAGAGGAATTTAGTTTCTTACAGCTTTTTTTTGTTTGTTTGGTTTTGACAGGGCTTTTTTGTGAGATGAGTGTTCAAGATGGAGTCTCTCTATGTAGTTCAGAGACTCTCAAACTCACGAGGAAGCCCAGAATGGCTTCCAAGTCACAGCAGTCCTCCTGTCTCAGCCTCCCAAGGATTCCTCACAATTCTGAAGGTCAGAACTCCAAAATCAAAGTATTGGCACGTTC